ATTTATAGTGAAATCATGACAATATTGTAGAAATTTACTATTCTTAGTAAAAAACAAATTACTATTTGTCATAATTTCTGTAAGTACTATTTATATTGAAATCATGACTTACTGTTTTTAGTAATATCTGGTTTCTTATATTAAGTTAGCCTTAGTAGCATTAGTAGAGTTATAAAGGTGTCTTAGTTTTCTGCTTTTTTATGATATACACTTCTGTCAGGTATAAAATTTATGGTCTCTTATTATCCATTATACTATTATTTGTTTTTGGAAACCAATATATTAAAACACAATAAGTGATTCTCTCAAACAAAAATTTATACCACATAACAATATACAATAATACAAAATGCACTTTAAAAAACCTTCCAGAGTCATAAGACCAAGATTGAATAGAGAGAAGTATATGTGAATGGCATGTTCAATAATGGGGGCTACAGCATGGTACAATGGTAAAATCTCAGGCTGACAAACATGAGAACATGGGGTCAAATCCGAGAGCAGCCACTTTGCACAAATATTGCTGGATGCTAAGTTATTATCCACTCCACCCCTCCCAAGACCAATAGATAGCCGGGACTAGCATTGGTAATAACCTGTGTATATTTGTATATGAAATTTGTATGGAATCTTTATTCTGAATTGTTTGTATGCACCTTGTATAGGATCATTAATATAGTGACCTCGTGCATTTTATTGTAAAATAGGTAAATTTATTGAGATGATACAAAATATTCAAACTCAGCTCTTAACAACAGATTCATTTGTGTGTCTAGAATTTTAATTTTCTTCTACTTCTGTGAGATCATTTATATAATGAGACGCCAAAGTTCCATGACTCCATCAAAATGTTTCATTGAGGTAATAGATGCAAAAATCAATGATTCAGCACTTCGTTGTACAAAATATGTTTATGCCATGCATAATTGACATTTTAAATAACTAGGAAAATTACTTATTGCTCATATTGTCTTTTAATTTTAAGATTCAGTTTTGATATTTTAGGGGAAAAGCGAGCAAGATTCAATGTGAAAAGAGTAAATCCTTTAGTTGGTTTGTACCTTACCTATTATTAATCTTCTAAATTTAAAACGCATGCATAAAGAAGATATGAACTAATTTGCATCCCATAATGAACTAAAATAACTGCAAGAATCATACCCCTTCATTCTTCAGAATCCTAGTTGTACAATGCAATGCACTCCTATACTTCACTCCATGTGCTTCCGTATTGTGCTTTTGAAGTTTCACCTGGCACATATCATATGATTCAAGATCCATACAGGGTACCACAATAAGTACAAAACATTCAAGAGAAATTCAGAGGCACAGCACAGATTGATACACCTGACATGTGATATGAAAAACTTTAGTGGTGGTATTATTATCAGAAATGCCTGAGACTTGTTGGTGTGCACTTGCTTGAGGTATAATGCAACATGAGGCATTCAACTTAGTAACATGCCCTAATAATTGTAAACAGAATATCACACAACTCTTGCATTTCACAGTTGTTGATGCATATGTAATGAATGCTGTAATTAGCTTAGCATTTTATCTCACCTTAGCAAAGCCTTTACAACCTGAGGTTGAAATAACTGATGCAACATGAGACTTGTTGGTGTGCACTTGCTTGAGGTATAATGCAATATGAGGCATTCAACTTAGTAACATGCCCTAATAATTGTAAACAGAATATCACACAACTCTTGCATTTCACAGTTGTTGATGCATATGTAACGAATGCTCTAATTAGCATTTTATCTCACCTTAGGAAAGCCTTTACAACCTGAGGTTGAAATAACTGATGCAAAAAGGTAAAGTACGACAGAAGAGAAAAGGGTTTTTACCTAAAAGGATATTTTATTTAGTGGATGACAGCAACCAAGAGGAGGCTACTCTATTCATGGGACCAGTCAATAAAGGTCACCATTTTCTTCTTTTCTTCTTAAAATGATAGGATATAGTCCATATTCTTGTATTAACACTACTGAAACAGTCTCTTTGAATTCCAATCTTATAATGAGTAAGTAAGTTAGTTACTTGTGTTTGCCCTATTTTAAGTTCACAAACCTGCCTCAGCCTTCAATTGCGATGCCAAAGTATATTGCGAGATCTTCAGTCCAATAACTACATTACATGGAGACTTAAAATTAAACTGAGGGGATTGATTTATGCTTCTATATTTAATTTCATTTTTTCAACAATTACTCTGTTATTGATATAAAACATAAATAGGGCCATTACCCAATGATGGTCCCAGTCTCCCAAATATTCAGGGTCTTAGGAGGGTATAGACTGGATAAGAACCTAATCACTGGCATTACTTGCACAAAGTGGCTGCTCTCAGGCTCAATCCTGCTGTCTCAAACTTGTCAGCCCTTGCACCAAGTAATGCCCTCTCATATAAAAAATAAGTATATTAAGTACACCTGAAAGTTCGAAATCCTTTTTTTCATGCTCAGAGTTAACCACCTGGTACACCCTACACCTCAGGTTCTGACACTCGTATCCATATCCACGTAGCCTGTGGACAACGGATTCAGTCCTCACAAAATTGTTCTCACAGCCATTTTCATCCGTGCATTGGAAGCATCTCCATACTTGTATCTTTTTATTGATGAAGAGATGTTCCCAATGCACGACCGAAAAGGGCTGTGAGAACGGTGTGAGCACAATTTTGTGAGAACCAAATCCAATTTCAGGTCTGTACTCAATTTAAACTAGCTCCTAATTCCTAGCTGCATTCACCCAAATCTCAGGCTTTAAATATTAGATGATAAAAATTTTTAATAAAATATACTTCCAAGAGAATGAATTCAAATAGTCAAAGCACCTGTCAGTCCTGTCTACTCATCCACCAAAGTGGATCAAGTCTCTTTTATCTTTCATAGTTTATAGTCGTTGGCAGCTCTTTTGATCACTTCACAATCACATGGTTGCTAGAAATTCTTTATATCGATAACTTTGAATTTAAGAATATCTCCATCGTTTTAATAGCCCTTATTTTACTTCTTATAAGTTTAAATCTCTGCACAAGTATCTTATTTTCCCTGATTATATCTGTCCATGTGAAGGACGATTACCATAATTGACTGGTCGTAATCAAGCATACATTTCCAAACATATTCAAGCCTTTCGACCTTTTTACATTCAAACAAATAACACTTGAAGCCAAGATCAATATTTTAGAGATCACACAAAGCCCAACAGCTTCCCTCATTGCAAAATAAGAGACAAGAAAAACAAGCTAAACAGGAAAAACAATTAGTTCCGGAAATGGATATAAATCCACAGAACAATCCCACAAAATGAAGACATTTCAATCTGCCGATTTACGAAGTTAATTATCCAAATTAGTCTATCTATCCTACCGAAAAGGGTAAGAAAAAGGGAATTTGCAAACAATCAGAGCTTTAAGAACACAAGTATGAAGCAGTTAAATACAGCAGCATGGAAAGTTGGGAACAGAAAGGAAATAAAAGAACAGACCTTGACGGTGTCGAAGGGATGACCAATGATAACAGTAGCTACTCCGGCAGCCATACCTGCTACATAGTCCTTGTACGTAGAGATATGATCACCCATTCCTTTGCCTCTCTCTCTCTCTCTCTCGAACTACAGACTACTGGCCACCCTCGCCCCCGTCAACGGTGGCATTCCACCACACACTCGGGTCTCTTCTCACGGAAGCCCCCTACCCAGACTGAAAGTTTCACCAAAAAAGGAAAAGAACAATGCTTGCAGTGTATGCGTGATATTGGGAAATAATATCTTAGCTATATTCAGTTCAGCCTATGTATTCTATTGCAGCTAACAACCGCTCTCAGGTCGGGTTGCCGGAGCCGGACTTCTGTCAAAGTAGCCGTCTCCGGTCTCCCCACCTGCTATTTGAAACAGTTCCGATTTTTATTCTCTTTCAGTTTCAGTGCCCTTTTCATGATTGGGGCTGGGCCTTGTCATACTAGGGCCCAACCCAAGTAGATTACCCATTTCGACACAAGTTGGGCCTTTGGACTTTCAATCATGGCTCTTTGCTTCTCTCTTTCTAAGGTCATCAGGTGTCATTATTTATCAAACAATCAATCAATAGGAAGAACAAATTGACATGGGAACCACTTGACGGTGCCTGATGATGTTCTGAGAAATTTACCGTCCATGTCCTCCCACTCCCCTTTGATTCTATCCACCGATACGAACTTGTCCCTTGGTTAAAAACCTTTTAGGTTCGAGGCCATGTGGTGTGGTGCCTCAACCCCAATATATATGATGTGGTGGACCATGTGCGGAGAAGTGAAGTCCCTGGTTCAAGAGTTTTAACATTTATGGGGTATTTTGTAGTGTGGAAGAAAAATTGGTGGGTGTGGATCCACACCCCGTGGGAGGGATCAATCTATACCACATCATAGTCCACAGTTGTTCTGAATTGTGGATAGATTGTGTAGATCAGGTCAGTTCACACCCACGGCGGCATTTTGTAGGTGTAGTGTGGATTGGTCCACACCATACTTTTTGATTCCATGTATCTCATATACATTTTATGGGAGATCTACACAGTTGATCATAAATGTCTAATTTTTGCATTTTATATGGTAAATAATTTGAAAAAAATGCATCAATATATAAACAACAATTGTATTTTTAAATAATTAAAAAATATTATTTTAAATATTAAAAAATAAAAAATTAATATTTTAAATATTATTTTATTAATAAAAATATTTAAATGATGAAAAAAGAGTTGAGAAGGAGAACTGCCAAACTTTGTGCTTGAATTAACATTAAAAATTATTATTTTACTGATAATTGATGGTGCACAACCTGAATGCTCCTAACTAGATGGCAACTCAGACGTCAGGCTACTTAGTTGGCCGGTCGAGCTGCAAAAAAACAAGATTAGAGAACCCGGGGTGGCTTACCCGGTGTGGGCACTTTGACGCTTTAGCGAGTGGAGTATGCGAGCTGAAGGATTCAGTAAGCTAGAAGGCTAGTGAGCAAATAATCGTGCGTACCTTGTAGCGTTGGGGTTGAAGCCCTTATATAGGTGAGTTGTCATAGGTCTTGCATAACACCTCTGAGATCCCTCGCCCGCACTGACAGGAGTCTATTCCTCACTCGAAGGTGGACTTCGTGTGAGCTGATAAGGCTTATCAAGTCCGTCCGATAAATTCCTCGGAGGTGATGGTCTTGACATGCCGAGGTGATGGTCTTAACGTGAGGCTTGATCCCAAAGAGGTCGGAGAGCCAGCTAGCTTCTAGAAGTTGGCTATGTGTCACCTCGGCAGGTCGGGCCATCACAAGCTGCTCAAACCTTGATCTTGGCCGAGGTGCCTAAGGTACCCGAGCTGACTTGGCCTGCTGAAGTGGCAAGAATGTTGAGTCATCATCCATGTCATCAGGTCGATCCACATGTCCACGTGCTAATAGGTCAAGCCAAATTACCCCTCATCAATAACATATTAAAAATATCAAAATTATTAAAAGATTAAATAAAATGAGAGTAATTGGACCAATGTAACGCACCACTGAAACCTCCCCACAAACTACCCACACCATAGTGTGGACCATCCACGAGAAAATACTATGGATGATAAATTGGGGTGTGGCTCATCCCTATCCACGCTATTTTGTGGACGATGACCGTCCACACATAGAAAAACACCATATCTTATCGTGGATGGGACCAAAAGATTAAAAGAAATGAACAAAAATCATTTTGGGAATATTTTTAAAAGAAAGCAAGAGATCCTGAATTCCTTAGAGCAAGTCAAGAGGTTGGGAATGATAGAGCCACCATTCACCTTGAATGTGCCCTCCATAAACAAACGGGATTTCCTACCCACTCTCTACCCGCCATAAATTGCAGCTACACATCTCTATTATGAATTAAGAGATGTGTAGTTGCAATTCACGACGAGTAAAGAATGGGTAGGAAAAGTGAGTAGGAAATTATGCCCCATATTAAATAAAACATCTATAGCATTGATTCCAAAATCAAAAAGCCCTAAGACTATCAATAACTTTAGACCCATCAGCTTGTGTAATGTAATTTACAAAGTAATTGCAAAGAGCCTTGTTAATAAAATTAAACCTTACTTAGAAAATCTAATATCCCCGTATCAGAATGTTTTTGTGCCAATTAGACAAATTAATGATAATATCTTAATTATTCATGAAATGAGTCATACCATGAAAAAGAAGAAGGGTATGAAAGGAATTATGGCTTGTAAAATTGACATGAAGAAAGCCTATTGATAGGCTGAAATGGAACTTCATAGAAGAAGTCCTAGGGAAGTTTGCTTTTCATGAGAATTGGAATGGGTGGGTTATGGAGCATATTAGAACAGTATCTTTTCATATTCTGGTTAATGGTATTCCTTCTAGGGAGTTTGCTACCTCTAGAGGGATCAAATAAGGGGATCCTCTATCCCCATATGTTTGTGTTGAAGCTCTTACTAGGAAGCTCGAAAAGGAATCTTTACTCTCATGTATTCCAATTGGATGCAAGGTGGCAAAAGACTGCCCCAAAATCCCAATATGGCTGCATTATTTATGTTGAGGTATCTTCAAGTGCTAGGGAACTATTGAGAAAGGGGTTAAGGTGGGAAGTGGGCAACGACAATTCTATAAAATTTTGGACGGATTGTTGGGTCAATGATACTCCCCTTTCGGTTAGTGTTGATATTGGCCGCGGCGGGGATGATCGAATCTTGGTGAGTGAATTCATTGATAAAGAGAGAGGTGTTTGGAGAGATGACAAAATTCGAAGCTTGGTTTCCTCAAACACTTGGAATAAAATTAAATCCATCTTTATCCCGCCAGATCAAAGGGAGGATAAAATGGTTAGGAGCCTAAATCCGAGTGGTGCCTTCTCCTTGAAATCAGATTATAAGCTGAAATGTACCGAGTGTTGCAATAGAGAAAACTTAGTTAATTGGAAGGGTTTAGTTTGGAGTTTATTGTGTCGCCCGAAACTAAAAGTCTTTCTATTTCTCCTCTTAAATTACAGGCTTCCTTCGAAGGACCTGCTTAGGAGGAGAGGAATGAACATTGATGGGGCTTGTTGTAGGTGTGGAGAAGTGGAGGACATCAACCGCATTTTTAGGGGGTGTATATTCACTGTCCAAGTTTGGAGGATTACTAACCCAAACTCATTAATTTTAATTGATCCGAATGCTAGACTTATGGAGTGGTGGAAAGCAATTCATGATCAACTGAATTAAAAGAAAAGTGTGTCTTTACTCTTTAGCACATCTGGAAGTGCAGGAACAACAAGGCTTTGAATAATGAGGATTCCTCTCCCTTGTTAATTGTAGTGAGAGCTAATAAAGATCTTATGGAGTTTAAGGATTTCATTGTTTCCCCTTCTTGCTCTAATAGAGTCAGATTGTGGAAATATGTTGCCTAGACTCCACCTAGCCAGTGACCTATAAAGATCAATTTTTATGCTTCTCGTTCAAGTGATGATGGTGCTATTGTGAGGGACTGCTCTGGCAAGATCATCGACTACAAGGGTTACAATCTAGCATGCAACTTCAAACATCATGAGATTATAATTGAAGGGGACTCCAAGCTACTCATCTCCTACCTCAAAGGGATTACCAGCACTCCTCATTGTCTGATGTGCAAGGATAAGTTTAGTGGAGGATTAAGGTATACACATATTTATAGGGAAGCCAACCAGGCCGCTGATTGGATTCCTAACTTGGTTATTTCATCGAATTCTAATTCTATTTTCCTTGACTGCAAGTCTCTTCCTTGGGACTTAGATTTTATCTGCTTGTGAGACTTCTAGGGGCATGCTACCCCTAGGCTTGTGTAGAACTTTTTCTCTTTATTAAAAAAAAAAATCAATCAATTGGTGAAAATTCGTAGACCAACACAATGTGCTACCCCTATGGTGTATGATGGATTTTCAAGGGTTCAATGTACAAGAAAATTATTTGTATCCTTGACATTTTTTTAATTTCTTGATTTTCTATTACATTTAAAGCCATGAATTTCAGCTTCCATTTATCAAAACTAAGTTTCATTTTATAGAAATGCCGAATTAAGGGTACCAATAGACCGGTTTTTGGTTGGAATAAGTCCAAATCAAAATCAATTTGGATAGATTGGACGGATTAATAAGACATATTGAATTGGACCAGTCCAGACATAATGGTCCAAAGTATTTATTGGTGTTGATATGTAAATTTTGGGTCCAATAAGAAATTGAATGAAAATGAGCTATTGGTCCACTAAGAAAAGGATAACAGAATTTGGGCCCAAAAAAGATATTGGATAGGGCCCACTACAAATCAAAGTGAATAGCAATGAGCACCTACCACATGGAGGCTTGCATTTTGAGACAAATCCCACCATTGAGTGGCAATTACAGAGGTTTTCTTAAACTCTCAAATCTTGTTAGAGAGATCCCCTCTAATCAACTTGGTGGGACCCACATTTAAGTGGCAATTAATATGGAAAGAATGATGGCCAAGATATATTTCTTTGTAAGTGGATTTAATCCCTTAGCATGCCAATCCCATATGGTAAAGCTACACATGGTGCACATAATCACCCAAATGCTATTCCAAACCCCGACCTTTAGGTGATAGCAAAATGGCAAATCAGCGAGAAATCCTCTCAAACTCATGTAGCAGGTTTGGATTAAATTGTATTGACATTCAAAGGTTCTTAAGTGACAAAATAAAAGGAAAAATTACAATTGGCTAATTGATATGATATGAAGAATCACTAACTGGCTAAATGATATGGTATTTCCTTTTATCTTATGTGGGCCCTCCACCAAATCACAAAAAATTGATCCTATGGCCTAACTTGTGGGGACCAATTAGATCTTAGTAAGATGTCCCCATTAATAGATTGTCGATGATTGATTAGGATTGATAAGAGAATCACGTTAATAGCTGGAGGA